TCGTCATCCCAGCAGAGGCCGTTCAACATTTTCTTCAGACTTCGTATTATTATTATTATTATTATTATTATTATTCATTCAATGATGTGTTACGAGAACAAAATACAGTGCCAAAATAGAAAGAGGGAAGGTGAGACAATAGCAGTGAAGTGAGAGCTAAGTGCAACGGTGGGTGAAAAACTAATAATTATAACGCTAAAACTGTGTAGTGAGACAAACAATCATGCTGTGCACCTACGAAAACAATTTTAACGCAACTACATGTTTCTTCTGCTTACAAAGATCAGGCTTATGCAAACGAATACAAACAGCCTCAAGTACTTTCAACTGACTAGCATACCGTGCACGACAAAGAACAGAAAAACTAAAATCATCATACACCTGCAGACACTTAGGGTGAGACAACAAGTGAAGAAAAACGGCAGACTTCTTACGATCACAATCACCATCTGATTCCTCGTCTCCAACAACCGCAACCTCGTCCTCCGTTTCATCTCCCAACTCGTCCTCAGTGTCGTCCTCCGTGTCATTCTCCTCATCAACACTGATCGGTCCTAGGCTCGTTTGACGTTGTTTAACCTCTGTTCGTTGACTCCTCCTTTGATCTTGATGGCAACTCGTTACCATTGTTGTTGTTGTTGTTGTTGTTGTTGTTGTTGTTGTTGTTGTTGTTGTTGTTGTTGTTGTTGTTGTTGTTAAATCTTGTGTTCCCAGTGTCCTCGCCGGTGCTTGATCTCCAGTACTGTAATAATTCATTGAATAATTAGCCGTTGATCGTCTAGGTCTTTGAATGTTGATTGTGTTACTTTCTTTGTTTAATTCCGTTCCCTTCAGCCTTCTTTCTCGATGTTCACAATCAGTGCTTGCCTCATCCATATATGCACGTGCCACCGACACCACAGACTCAGCCCCAGCACCGCCGATGATAGATGTAGGTGGCGGTTCTGGGGGAGGCAACGGCAAAGACGGCGATGAGGGCATTACCTCATCACAGCGTCCACTTTGGTCTTGAGCTGAATGTTGTTGTGGTGTGTTATCTTGTGTTGTTATGGTGCATTGTGTTGTGGTGACAATATGCCCATTACCCGACTCCAAGGCTCTCGATACGGGTAATGGAGGCACTATTTCTCTCCCCTGGAAAGGTAACCTCTCATTATCCATGAGTCGCTTGGTACGGAAAATTGTACAGCAAACTTACTACGCGGTACATTTTGTACCCGTTTTCACAACTGTACGTGCGTTCACGGTGAGGAAGGATGTCCTACCAACCCAACTTGCATCTAAATTGGTATACCAATTTGAGTGCCGACAATGTGGTAGTCGGTACGTTGGTAGGACTCTTCAACATCTGAACGCACGTATCAAGCAGCACGTCCCACTGCATATGCTGACTGGCTCGGCACGGGCACTGCGACCAAAACGCGGCAGGCCACTGAAGAACCCTCGGCCACAGCCATCGTTAGCACAATTTCCGTCATCGGCAATAGTGCCTCCATTACCCGTATCGAGAGCCTTGGAGTCGGGTAATGGGCATATTGTCACCACAACACAATGCACCATAACAACACAAGATAACACACCACAACAACATTCAGCTCAAGACCAAAGTGGACGCTGTGATGAGGTAATGCCCTCATCGCCGTCTTTGCCGTTGCCTCCCCCAGAACCGCCACCTACATCTATCATCGGCGGTGCTGGGGCTGAGTCTGTGGTGTCGGTGGCACGTGCATATATGGATGAGGCAAGCACTGATTGTGAACATCGAGAAAGAAGGCTGAAGGGAACGGAATTAAACAAAGAAAGTAACACAATCAACATTCAAAGACCTAGACGATCAACGGCTAATTATTCAATGAATTATTACAGTACTGGAGATCAAGCACCGGCGAGGACACTGGGAACACAAGATTTAACAACAACAACAACAACAACAACAACAACAACAACAACAACAACAACAACAACAACAACAACAACAACAACAACAACAACAACAATGGTAACGAGTTGCCATCAAGATCAAAGGAGGAGTCAACGAACAGAGGTTAAACAACGTCAAACGAGCCTAGGACCGATCAGTGTTGATGAGGAGAATGACACGGAGGACGACACTGAGGACGAGTTGGGAGATGAAACGGAGGACGAGGTTGCGGTTGTTGGAGACGAGGAATCAGATGGTGATTGTGATCGTAAGAAGTCTGCCGTTTTTCTTCACTTGTTGTCTCACCCTAAGTGTCTGCAGGTGTATGATGATTTTAGTTTTTCTGTTCTTTGTCGTGCACGGTATGCTAGTCAGTTGAAAGTACTTGAGGCTGTTTGTATTCGTTTGCATAAGCCTGATCTTTGTAAGCAGAAGAAACATGTAGTTGCGTTAAAATTGTTTTCGTAGGTGCACAGCATGATTGTTTGTCTCACTACACAGTTTTAGCGTTATAATTATTAGTTTTTCACCCACCGTTGCACTTAGCTCTCACTTCACTGCTATTGTCTCACCTTCCCTCTTTCTATTTTGGCACTGTATTATTATTATTATTATTATTATTATTTGAAACTCGGATGTTGAGCCATAAATAAATGTGGAAGAGAAAAGGACATATGGATACGAGCTGTATATAGTATCATGTTACAGTGATGGAGAGTTACTCTTAACTCGTATCCATATGTCCTTTTCTCTTCCACATTATTATTATTATTATTATTATTATTAAGTAGTGGTTGCGACTTCGGCGCAAGTGTCAAGTAAAGTCGGCGGAATAGCGCGAGCTCCGGTGTGGGGAGCAAACCCTTTATTATTATTATTATTATTATTATTATTATTATTATTATTATTATTATTATTATTATTATTATGGTGTTCACGAGGTGTTTGTCGCGCTGGAAGCGGAGCGTCTCTGTAAGTTTGTATCCCTGGTGATGTTTGCGCCTGGAGAGCACTATATAAGTGGTGCTCTTCAGGCACAATCTTCCTCAGCCTACTCAAGCTCAACTGATGAGGGGTGAATTCCCCGAAACACTGTGTATTGAGCAGGGAGTGGTGCTTTCTTGCAGGTTTGCCGAGTCGAAGGTTCCATGGACTTCTCGTGTGCTCTGGATGGCAGTCGTGAGTCAGTCAAGTGTCAAGAAAAGTCGGCGGAATAGCGCGAGCTCCGGTGTGGGGAGCAAACCTTTATTATTATTATTATTATTATTTTAATATATCCTCGTCGAATTATTATTATTATTATTATTATTCCACAATCACGATGACATAGTGCCAATAAGCATGTGATGCGGGCGATTTTAACCAGCCATGTATGTTCAAATTGTGACTCTGTGGCTTGGCAATTAGTGTACTCGTTGCCGTATACCATGCGCCACACTGTCTGCCATAAATCTGAATCCATGTCTGCAATGATATCACTGAAATCTGCTTCGGATAGTACCGTACCATTTGCGTACTCTTTCCCATGAAAAAGTTGTGCCTGTCCTTTCACTTTCTTGTTTATCATTGTGGACACTTCTTCCAACAGTGTAGCTATTCTGGAGTTGTCGCTGTTGTTGGTACTGCTTGTGTGTGTTGCTGTGCTCAGGGCGGCTGGTTCTTGCCTCTGCTGTAGAAGATTCCGTCGCTGCTCCACCATGGAGTAGTAGAGTAACTGTAGCGTGTCTGACCCATTTCGGTGAAGCATGATTCCATGCTTCCGGGACGCACCAAGTTTTTTAATTGAGGCATGGTGTTCAAGACGATGTATCAAACGATAGAGCAGCCACCTAGCGTTCCTTCCAGTTTTTCTCCTTGTCTGCTTCCTCATACAGCTCGTGTACAGTCACCAGAAGGACAGCTCCCCGATGAAGCGGCGAAACGTTCAGCTACCAGCTGCGCCATCATGCCCACGTACCAGTGACTGTCACTGACTGATCAATGCTATTGCTAGTGATGAGGGACTGCAGGTGGTGATTTGTTCTGGCCGGTGCGTCATCACCAGTCCCGCCAATGTTTCTCATTAAGCTGGGCATTGTAGCATGTGGTGCAATACCAGTCCTCCGGTATGACCTCTGTCTCACAGTTTACTTGCAGGAAATGCTGGATTGAAGGAAAGTTTGGCGACTTCCGCCTCGGTGGTTGTAGGCGCTGTTTGCACATTCCGCGGCATGCAGGTCTATTGTATGCCTGGTTATAATGTAGGTTGCACATTGGCTGCTGGGATGCATCATGGCAGTGCATTTCACTCTCACAGTCGTCAACACTGCACAGTGGCTTTGCCGGTTTGCCGGCTGCTCCTCGCTGGCAGCCATTTCGCAGTGCCTTCACGCAAGGCCAGCATACACATGCAGTATTTGGTACGGCTGTTGACGGCTTTATAGCTTCCCAGTCCTGTATCATTTGTGGATGTGTAAACTTGTATGTTGGCTGTTTGCAAATTGCGCAATCCGGACCGCATTGCTGACCAGGATTGAGGCTGCGTTTACACGGAGACGAAACGAAACGGAACGAAAACGGGCTGGCCTCGAATCGTTTTCAAACCGTTTACACGAGAACGGCAAATCGTTTTGAACCGTTCACACGAAAACGGAAAACGGGCGAGCAGGCTGGAGTTAGCACGTGCTGGCTTGGCGCAAGGGCGGGAAGTAACACGTCAGTTGGAGTTGGCACGTGCTGGTGGTCGCAAAGGTCAGGTATTTCCCGCGAAATATAGTCCCGCGCGGAATGGTTTCCATGACCGCGCTCCGTTTCCAATCGTTTTCACTGTTTTCACCGTTTACACGAGAACGAAAACGTTTTGAAAACGTTTCAACACTTCGAAGTGCGTTTCCATTTCGTTCCGTTTTAATAGGTGTCGTTTTCGGGCGTTGTCGTGTAAACGATAGTACTCGTAGTAAACTGGCGCAACGATTTCATTCCGTTTAGGTCCTACTTTGTTGTCGTGCAGCAGTTGGCGTGGGACGTTCTGGACCAGCAACTCATTGGGAACGCGCAGGTTCCGGACTCAACCAGTCCGTCTACACGCACCGCAACTGACATGCCACCGTCCAGTACCATTGGTAGGTCCACGTCTAGTCAGCTGCTGGCGTACCTCGATCAAAGTCAGGATGACCTGCCAGTACCAGGCCCACATGAACCCGACTGCCCACAACCAGGGAGGCCTGCGACATTTGACTTGCCTGTGTACACCGAGACAGCACGGATCAACTTTGTTCTGGGCACCATGACTGCAGAAGAATGTGCCAATGCCATCAACAGAACATACGACGAAGCTGTGCATTTTCGGCCGAATGCCTTCGATGTCCTCAGTGGCGGTGTGGGCAAAGATTTTGTGAACCAGCTCAGCCAGTATCTGCTGGTGTTTGGCAATGCCGGTCCCTTTGAAGGCCAGGCTCTGAAAGTTGCCATGGTGTTCCAGCTGCTACTCCTCCAGAAGCCGTTTCAAGCTGCCACCTCCTCGCATGCCAAGTGTCTTAAGCGTCGTCTGGAGCTGTGGAGAGCAGGGGCGCTTTCAGACCTCCCGGTGAATGTCGCACCATACATAACCAGCTGGAAAAGCAACAGGCGCAACGGGACAGGATCACCAGTCACCACCGATAATGCCAGACGGTTTGCTTCGCTTGTGACCGACGGCAAACTGGGTGCAGCACTGCAATATCTGGATGATGACACCTCGGGAGGCATACTTGACCTGGATGACAGGATTGGCGACAGGCCAGTCAGAGATATCCTAGTGGAAAAGCACCCCCTTGCCGAACCAACCCAACCGGCCGCCGTGCTTCCCGGCACACCTCCAGCACCACCACACCCCGTACGGTTCGAAGCACTCACTCGAGATGTTGTTCGCCGGGCTGCACTCAGCACCCATGGCGCAGCAGGCCCCTCTGGAGTGGATGCCGACACATGGAGACGAATGTGCACCGGATTTGGTGTTGCGTCAGACGACCTTTGTGATGCGGTGGCCTCATGTGCAAGGCGCTTGGCGACATCCATGGCAGACCCCTGGTCACTGGAAGCCCACACGTCATGTCGCCTAATCCCATTGGACAAAAAACCGGGAGTCAGGCCCATCGGCATAGGGGAGGTTTTAAGGCGGATTGTGGGCAAAGCCATCCTCAGCCTTCTGCGAGACGACATCCTGGAAGCAGCCGGCAGCCTACAGCTTTGTTCCGGTCACGAGTGTGGAGTAGAAGCCGCTATTCATGCCATGAGAGAAGTTTTCGCAGATGACGAAACGGAAGGCCTCCTTCTAGCAGACGCCTCAAACGCGTTCAATTGCTTGAATCGTGCTGTATATCTGCAGAACATCCAGCATCTTTGTCCAGCCATGTCACCAGTTGTCATCAACACTTACAGGCAACCCGCACAGCTCTTTGTCGGTGGAGAAGTCATCCTCTCTTCCGAAGGTACCACGCAGGGGGACCCGATTGCAATGCTCTCTATGCTCTCGGTGTTCTTCCTTTGCTGCAGTCAGTCTCTACTGCAAATACTGTGCAAGCCTGGTTTGCTGATGACTCAGGAGCAGGTGGCAAGCTGATGCCTTTGCGTGCATGGTGGCATAGCCTAACAGAGCAAGGTCTTGCCTACGGCTATCATCTCAACCCGTCCAAGTCGGTTCTCCTGGTTAAACCGGAGCATTATGATCGAGCAGTGGAGATGTTCGCCGACACTGGAGTTGACATCCGCGTCGATGGTTGCCGGTACCTGGGTTCGGCTATTGGTACGCCTGCGTTCCTGGATAGCTTTGTTGAGCAGAAGGCAACAAGATGGCTCAACCTCGTGGAGAAGTTGTCCTCGTATGCGGAAACGCAACCACAGGCTGCATACGCTGCACTCACCCAAGGCCTGCAGAATAAGTGGTCTTTCCTCTGCCGCACCACACCAACAGCTGCAGCTGCTCTGACGCCTGTGGAGAAGCTGCTAATGGAGAGGCTCATCCCCGCTCTTACCGGCCATATTGTCAACTCGGAGGAAAGGTCAATTCTTGCGCTTCCATGTCGTCACGGAGGGCTCGGGCTGGGCAATCCCGTGGATCTCGCATCCCAGTATGATGCATCGCGAAGGGTGACTGAGTCCTTGCAGACCAACATCAAGCTGCAGACTATGGCGCTCGGCTCTGCAACCAGTCTCGTTCGTACTGCCAAGGCGGAGGTGAGGATAACAGCACGGAATGCTGTCAAAGCCCACGCCCTGCTGCTCCGCTCCAGTGTGCCGGAGGCCAAGCAGCGTGTAATCGACCTGGCTGCGGAGAAGGGCTCTTCCAGTTGGCTGACCTGCAGGCCCTTGAAGCGCCATGGATTTGCCCTCTCCAAAGCGGAGTTTCGCGATGGAGTGCACCTAAGGTACAACTGGCAACCACAGCGCATGCCATCAGGGTGCGTTTGTGGAAGCCAGTTTACTGTGGCCCATGCCCTCTCGTGCCCCACCGGCGGTTACCCTACCATCAGGCATAACGAGATCCGCGATGTGACCGCTGGTTTCTTGAAGCGTGTTGCCACCAACGTATCTGTAGAGCCTCATCTGGAGCCCCTGAGTGGGGAGCATCTGAGCTATCGCACCGCCATCCGCGACGACCAGCCTCGCTTGGACGTAGCAGCAAATGGAGTGTGGGGAGGGCGGTTCGAACGCACCTTCTTCGACGTCCGGGTGTTCAACCCTTTTGCGTCTTCGAACCAGTCCTCCTCCATTTCTGCCACCTACGTTCGCCAGGAGAAAGCGAAGAAGAGATCGTATGAAGAGAGGCTGCGGGAGATCGAGCATGCTTCATTTGTCCCGTTGGTCTTCTCGACAACCGGTGGCATGGGCAAGCAATCTGCCTCGCTTTACAAGCGAATTGCATCTCTCATTGCTGAGAAAAGCGGCGAACCGTATTCGGTTGTTATGTCATTCATCCGCTGCCGCCTTAGCTTTGCGTTGCTCAGAGCGAGTGTCATGTGCCTGCGTGGTGGTAGCCGCTCTGTTTTCGCTGTACATGCACCTGTCTCTTCTTCTGCCTCCCTAGTTGCTGCCGAAGCTGGCACTTCCCGTCATTAATTTTATAGTCTTTAGTTCTTTTTAAAATATTATTATTTGCCATGGCGACCCCCGTAAGCCCAAATAGCTGGCAGGGCAGGGTTGGGCCTTTTTTTCTTTTACTTCACAGGTGTAGCATTTTATCAGTCACTAGCAGCACCCGCGGCCAGCGTTGCCTGGCCGAACGTGGCATGCGGCCGCGCGGGTGCACGGTGCCGGTGCACCGGTGAAGCAAGTACGTGAACAGCACACGTGCTCAGCACGTGGTGGTGGCTACACGATTCGCACGCTTCGCGTGCTCAGTGCTTCTGTGGCTGCTTCCGCTAGCTACACGATTCGCACGCTTCGCGTGCTCAGTGCTTCTGCGGCCGCTAGCTACACTGTTCGCACGCTTCGCGTGCCAGGGCAGCGCTGCTCCGCAGCATGGCCTGAGCGTGACACACACACACACACGTCACAGGTGCCTCTTCTTTATAAGTAAAGATTACGTATGATTTAAAAAACTTTGTTGTCGTGTAAACGCAGCCTGAGTTTATCTCCAGAAGTTGTTCGTCCCATTTCTATTATTGAAATTGGCCGTTTCCTTTATTCTGGTGTGATCATTGTGCCATTGTTGCCAGCTTCCATCACTGTTTTTGTATTATTTTCCATTGACACCATACACCAAGTACTGAAAGAGGTTCACCTTCTACTCAGTACGAGAGTATAGTACGGTATTATTATGACTGTATGACACGAGTTTCCACTAAAAATATGGCAAGCCGAAAACCTGGCGAGTACAGAGTAATCGGGTAACTGGCACCGACCAGGGAGTCGTCAAATATATATATGGGTATTTGACGACTCCCTGGCACCGACAGATGGAAGGAATATCTGTGCACATATGCAAAAAGAATTGAAATCGGCTAGTGCCAAACAATGCGGCACGAAATCTTCGGAGGGACGTTTTGAATCCAAGAATTTATTTACCTTCCAGAGAGCCGACGAGGACGACACTATTATTTTCTCATCTGTGGCCTTCGCTAAAAAATCTCAGGGGACTCTGTATGTGTAGGATTGGGTAGAGAGTACGGAATGGAAGCGAAGTGGAGTATTTTCAGTGCGGTGGTTGTCTTTGTTTTCGTCGGCATATTGTTGCCTTGAGAATTTTCGTCCACGGAGCCGGAGGGCTTCAAATTTCCCGCGACTGAAAATAAAAGTGCTACGGCTTTTTTGAATCTGGCGATCCTAATGAGTACCGTACCGCCGAGATTGCACTGCCCCAAATAAAGTTGCCTGCCGCCAAAACAAGAATTACGATCTGCAATCTGTTTGTAGTACCACCCTGGTACCTGCAAGAATGTGCTGTACATGTATCGTACTTTCTCTGTTGCTGTTTCAGTTGCAAAAGAGAAAGATTCAGTGACTCATTTGTTTCATACGAGACGAGTCGACGTGGCTTAGAATCTTTCGCTGTAGAAGAAATCTATTCGTATGTCTATTGGAGAAATAATTGTATTCACTGGTTATAAAATAGGTTTTAAAAGACATTGGTTATAAAATAGGTTAACACAAACAGAATAAGTACCATCGGTCCCTTGGTGTTCGTCCTAAAGAGGTTCGACTGGATATCATTCCTACTCACCAAAAGATGTGTAACATTGTATTATCATGGAGTAGGTGTTGGCGGATAATGCTCCGTAATATGGGATATAATGCTCTCAGTAATGCTCCACAGAAGGCCATATAATGCTCCAAATAATGCTGATAATGCTCCGCCGGATGGAATATAAACTCCTGAACCTTGCGGTATCGGGCTAAGAAAAACGCTATAATATTGCACCCGTGCTATGCAACATAGAACACACAATCTGGATCCGCCGCAGACTCGGCTGAACTAACGGCCTCAGTACAGAAGACCGGTGCCGGCTAGAGCCTTCCCAAGTCGTTTCTGATACGCCAAGAAGGACTCCTTGACCAGCTTCTGCCTCTGAGTTTCCCTCTCCAAACGGGACTTTCTTTGTTTGTGTCTCGCGGTAGCAATATGGGACATGATTATACTCTTCTTCCCTGACAATGTTGTATGGCCTACCAGGTACACTAACTTGCCACAGTCGCTTTTGAGCGGCTCCGCACCCGTGTTTCGGCACTGATGGCCACTTCAGTGCTCTGGCCATGAGCTACTCGCGTCCTTTTGGAAACATTTTCAGACTTGGTAGTAGCTGTTTTCTGAAAAGACCGCTTCCTCGCTATCGCGGCAGGATCTGCAGTTTCCAACTCGACGACGTCACTATCATCAGAGGACTCCGCCAAAAGCTCATCTGGAGAAAGCCCAGCTTCCTCCCAATCCAAAGAACGGCATCGCGGCGAGTCAGCCATCAGCGTTGGCTGCTAGTTAGCTGGTCTTACACAATGGTCAATGTCCGGTGAAAGTCCAGCGTTACTCTTCGACAAAGACATGGACTCTTGCTTCGATGAAAAAAGTTTTTTGTAACATTGTGGACGGTAACCGGGTAAGGTCTGGAATGTGTGCGTGTGCGCACCTCCACCGTTCCATGCTGGCTCACATGTGTTTCGTTGGTTCGGCGTTGTTACCTGGATCTTCAAAAAGTAAGTAATTAGTTGCTGGCCGAAGATAGACTTCCGGGACCGGAAGTTTCTGCGAGAGTTGCCTCACTGTGCTGGACCACAGCTAGCTACTAATAGTACTAAGCTAGCACTATACTGCATGCAGTATAATGGGCCTGGCACTGCGTGCCACGATCTGTTTGGTACCATGCATGATGTGTGCGGTGGTCTATCGCTTGTACTACTTTTGTAGTAATCATGGTAATACATCGCGTATAGTAATAAATGTTGTCAATCAAAGACCAACGCTATAGCCGATACGAATCTGTACATGAGGATGTGTGTAGATCTACTAATAGTACTATGCAGTCATGTAGAACGTCGTATAATGCCATTTTTGGCCTCGTAATGCTTTATAATGCTCGTAATGCTCCGGGTGGTGTATAATGCTCGATATAATGCCGGCATTATCCGCCAACACCTATCATGGAGTGCCTTGTTTATCTCTCAGTACCTCCAGGGTGCCCTGTAAGAAGGCCTTAGGCCTGTGGGGATTGCCCAATCAAAAATTTGATAATCACTGAGCTAGGAGTGGAGTGTGTCTCTGTTCGTCTTCGCCTGTGTACCAAACCTAAGGCTATTGAGCTGGCTGTGTGCAGTATATATCGTCCACCCAGTGCAACTGTCGACTTCTGGAACCTGTGCAGTCAGCATCTTGACGTCATCAGCCGTAAATTTAGCAGGATTATTGTACTTGGGGACTTTAACACTGATGTGCTACAGCAATCATCAAAATAACCACCATTACAAGCACCTGTCCAATCTGTGTGAGGAGTTTCACCTCCGCAATGTCGTGACTTCACCAACGCGACTTGCCAAGACATGTCTGGATCTAATACTCGTTTATGCTGCCGCACCACATGTTAAGACAACTGTAGTATCTGTAGACGGCGTGAGCGACCATGATCTCGTTCTGACTAACTTCTCCTACAAAGCCACGCAGCAAGCTAACTCCCGCCTCAAATTCGTGCGCAAACCGCTCCCACATGCAATTGACCCCGCTACACTCTGTGATGATATCGACAGCACTCTGGAGCCTCTCCCCAAGTCAGCTGATGTCAATGCACAAGTCACCCAGCTTTCACACTGTATTACTCGAGTTTTAGACAAACATTCACCGATCTGCCCCGTGGTCTCACCAGCTTTCAGTAAACCGAAGCCTCAGCCATGGGTGACACCTCAGTTGAAACACCTCCTCCAGCAACGAATCCACCTACATAGAAAAGTACGCACTCACCCGTCAGATCAACAGCTTCTGCAGAGGTATCGTGCAATACGGCGAGAAGGCACTCTCCTCAACAGGCAGCTGAAGTCACAGTATTACATCAGAGAGTTCAAAAATCGTCGCCATGACCCACGAGGCCAATGGGCCATTATCAATAGCTTGTCTGGTAGAACAGCAGTGAAGGCTGCCCCAGCAGCCACACTCGCCGATCTGACAACTACCTTCGCCGAGATCGTCCATGACCCTGCCAGACCAGTCGAGCTGCCCCTACCCGTTGCAGACCCCAATAGCACTACTCTTTTGGAGTTTGATACCGTCAGCGTCGATACCATCTCCAAGTTGCTTGAATCTCTGGTATCCAACAAAGCCACCGGCTCCGATGATATTCCGTCCTGCATCCTGAAATCCTGCAGAGATTCAGTCTCGTATCCGTTAACTGTTATCGTCAACCAGTCTCTTCGCTCTGGCATCTTTCCTGCTGCCTACAAACATGCCCATGTCTGCCCTGTTTACAAATCTGGTGATAAGACCTCAGCCACCAACTACAGGCCAATCTCACTGTTGCCTATCGCGGCCAAGATCCTAGAGAAGGTTGTCCACAAGCAAGTCACTTCGTATTTCACCCAGAATCCAGACCTGTCAGCCGTACCAGCTGAACAATTTGCGTACCGCTCACACCATAGCTGTGAGGATGCCCTGACACTTTGCATAGACAGATGGAACAGAGCACTTGACAACGGTGACCAATGCGGAGTAGTCTTTGCGGATATGAGCAAGGCGTTTGACCGTGTGCAGCACACAGGTCTGCTGGGAGAGCTAGCCACCACTGGCTTAGGTGGCACTGTCCTCAAGTGGTTCTCAGACTATCTCACGAACCGCAGCCAGCAGGTTACTGTCAATGGTGAGAAGGGTGACACCAAACCCTGTACAAGAGGGGTCCCCCAGGGGTCTGTTCTTGGGCCTTTGCTTTTCTGCGTCTACATTCGCCGGGTACCCGATATATTTCACCAGAGTGTCGTGCAGCTGTACGCTGATGATATTGCGTTCTACGTATTCGGCTCTGATGTGGCTACAATTATGCTACGCTTGCAGGATAGTATGCGGTTGCTAGAGCAATACCTTGATGAGAAAGGCCTTCTGCTCAACCCCACTAAAACACAGTTCATGTTGATACGGCGTCCTGCCCTGCCTGCACTGAGCC